CTGTATTACAATTTACAGAGGTCAAGTTATTCTCAAATAGGATGAAAATAGGGATCAAAATTAAAAGAGTGTTAAATACATATGATTTCAGTTTGTAGTACTTTGTGACCTTTTCTTGCGTTACTGTTTAAAATTGGAAATCCGATTAAGACACTAATAAGACGTAGTAAAAAAAACCTTAAAACTAAAGGTAATCACATGAATTCAATTACGTTCTGTTTATGAATTAGTTCATGACAAGAATTATTATGATCCGAAATACCTGATTAATAAACTTTATTATCTTTATATCTTTATTGTTATGGTTAGAGAATATTTTAAATTTTTTGGGGACTCATATATTATATATATTCCCTGCATTAACTACCCCCCTGATTGTAAGAATGACGATGTAGTATTCTTAAAGTGTTACATAATCTCTTTAACCCCTTTTACTCATTTGCCAAAGAAGGACAAAATCTAGATGAAATCTGGTATATGAATATTGTTTAAAATTGGCCTGCATCATTTACACCATTCACTAATCGATAAAGTGTAGGATGTGCACAAACTTAAATTCTCCTTAAATTGATCAATACTACAACTTCTTTGTTCTAATTATACCTGCATTTTTTTTTACGAATATACATATAATTCCAAGATTTTTTATTTTTTTTTCATAAACCCCCGACATCCTTAATTAAAGATACTTTCGTATCGAAGCAGTATTGTCGTATAGGCCTTTACATAAATTTACCTTCTGCACAGTGTTTAAGGAATAAATTTTAAGCTTATTCGTGTTCCTGCACCTTTTTCACGTGTTACTAAAAACAGGTAACGGTGCGATGAATGAATTCTATAGTTCCTAGTTGTGCGTTTAGCATTTAGCATATGTATTTGCTCTTTACTAATATTTTCTTAAATTTTGAAAATGCAGTTAATATATTACGGTTATCATGTCCAGCGAGGAAGCAGCAAAGAAAAACAGGTTTGTGGTGTTGCTAAAGTTTTAATTCGAACTTACATTGAACTTACATTGAACTTACATTGAACTTACATTGTTGTTTATTTATATTCTTTAATAAACAGTGTGGTAGTGAAGGTTGGTATGGTCGGTGACTCTCAAATTGGTAAAACGAGTTTAATGGTCAAATACGTGGAAGGCTCCTTTGATGAAGATTATATTCAAACTTTAGGTAATTTAAATCAAAATTACTAGGATTTTTAAACCAAAATTTTTTTGATACTAAATTAATTCTCGGTTAATTATTAAAGGTGTTAATTTTATGGAAAAAACAATTTCCATAAGAAACCATGAGATCACATTTAGTATATGGGATCTTGGAGGTATTCAATCGTTATAAAATTGTGAATTGCTACTGTAACAACCCTTTTTTCCTGTATTTTCCATTCACAATACTCATTATTTCAAATTAGGTCAGCGTGAATTCGTAAACATGCTTCCTCTCGTATGTAATGACGCTGTTGCGATACTTTTTATGTTTGATTTATCGCGAAAGTCCACATTGAATAGTATTAAGGAATGGTATAGACAGGCTAGAGGGTTTAATAAAGTAAGTCGCTTTTATAATCATTTGAAAGTAGAATTATATATATATATTTAATTTGATTAAAAAATTCATATTGCCTACTTCATACAAATAGACTGCCATTCCTTTTCTTATTGGAACAAAATATGATCAATTTGCAAATTTCCCCAAAGAAGAACAAGAAGAGATTACAAAACAGGTAATTTATCTAAGTTATAATAAATTAACTTATGTCAATCATTTCTTCGTATTTATTTCTTTTATAATTCATTATCAGGCTCGTCGTTTTGCTCGTGCCATGAAAGCCTCTTTGATATTTTGTTCAACGTCCCACTCTATTAATGTGCAAAAGATTTTCAAAATAGTCCTTTCAAAGGCTTTTGATCTCAAATGCACCATCCCAGAAATTAAGGAGGTCGGTGCCCCTATATTAGAATATATAATAACAGTGACGTCATGATGACACACTAGCTTTAAAACGAAAAATGCGGGGAGTTTGTTTGTTGATACAGTAAACTGTTTCATGTTTTAGTTAATTTGTATTTCAGTATTTTAATCCCTTATTTGTCGACTAATATTTTAACGGTTTTATTTTATAAAAAACTTTTCAACAAGTTGTGGTTTTATATTATTATGTAAATTTATAATTTTGATTTTATATTTATTTATTTTATCCATTTGACTGATTGGATGCAAAGACCTGTACTTTTGTTTTTTTTTTTTTTTTGAATCATTTCTGCATTTGTAAAATAATCCTTTATAACTTCGACAAATGAAATAATAATCATCAAATGTATATTTTTGTATACAGTATTTGTAAAATGATAAAATTCGATATATAAATTAACAGTATTTATTATGAAAATTATGTTGAATTTATGCACTAAAAATCGATTTGGTTATTATTGCTTGAAGAGCGAACGAAAGCTATACAATAGTATTTTGTTAACATTTTATTTACTTATTTTATAAACTTTAAATATTAGAAAAATAAAAAGAAATGCTTTTTAGAAAGAAATATGGTTTTTATAGCGATAACGATAAATTATGACGTACACTCTACTTTAAATACTTTAAATTGAAACGCACACATATATATATAGTAATTCAGACCTTTCCGGAATTTCTTAAGGGTAAGGTGAATCAGTGAAAATCATCGGCCCAATCAAAATCATTTAATTTTGTGAGAAACTCTTATGATAATTTAGATTTCGCGATCGCAATGGACGGAAAGAAGGTTACGGTAACATGTAGGGAAACTAGTCATTAATGCTCCATAAATTTATCTTTTATATTCAACTTTTGTATTTCATTCCATAGATTTCGATGAGTATGGCATTTGGCCAAAAATCGCAGATGATTTTCGTACTCACCTTCCTCTTCGCAATCTGCACTGGAAATCCGCAAAAGGTTCAACCCGCAACATAATGGTTTTGGGCGTGGAGCTAAAACGTTTCACACCAGAGACTACTGAAAAACCACATATGATGCCCGAGACTTTATTAGAAAAACCTTACCTTAATTTGTATTTTGTTAATTGTGAAGTAAGTTAATCCATTAAAGAATTCTCCCTAGAAATTTGTTCAATTTTTGCTAATTACTTTTACAATTTATAGGATAATGAGGCATACCGTCAAACAATTCGTCAAAAAATTCGCGATTGGGTTAACATCGTTACTGCTCCTTCAAAGAAAAATCAAGAATGGCTAATAGTTTATGTGACAAAACAAGAAACTCTTCGAAATGCTGCCAAATATTTTAGTATGAATATGAAAGGAACTGTCTTTGATAAAATTAAAGCTGATTTTAATACTTCTAGACGCGATAGGTAATCAAAATATCATAATCTTTATTTTTATTTTTATTTTATTTCATTTTTTCTAATTTTTACCATTATAATCTAGATGTGTTCAACTTCGGTTATCAGATAATGATGCTGATGAATATGAATCATGGCAGGAACTTATGTCTAAAATAAAAGATGGTATATTGATTAGTTTTGATCAACATGTGGTTCAATATGAAGAAGATATTCGAAGATTTGATTCACAAAGAAGCATGATTGGTTGGAATTATTGTACATTTTTTGTTTTAAAGGTAATTCACTAAATTTTATCTATTAGTGTAGGTATAATAATATAAGGGTACTTTTATACAGGAAAAAAAAAAATGTTTACTATATATTTATCCACGGCTAGGAAGGATTGGCCTTGACATTTGAAGTTTTTAACTTGTATGAGGAGGCTTTGGTTCAATACGATGAATTGGAAGCTTCTTTTTTCCAAGTTTTGAGAGGTACAAATAACTACTTGGGAATTCTGAACTATTATTATTCGTAGATTTCTTATACATCTCGATTTAATTAGATAGGGCACTAGCATGGTTTGGTGATTTTGGTGCTATAGACGTCAAAGATGACAGTGCCAATATATTGGACGTTAAGAAGAAGCCTTACCGTGATCTTATAAGGCAGAATAAGTTACCAGAGTTCGATTTTAGGTGTTATCTTTTTGCAAGGCAGTGTCACTTGTTAGGGAGGTTACAAAGACCAGTGGAGATTTGTCGGAGAGCACAACTTTTCATTTCTACATTTGGTAGGACAATAAAAGATCATCAAGCGAATGTTGGTGAGCATTTTTTGGAATCGTGGATTTATTCATCATGTATGAGTGTGGTCAGTGAATGTGAAGAGTTGGCCCCGTTAACGTCCTTGGATGAGTCCACTTCTAGTGCATTCAATGCTGCTAAAGGAGAATTATTAGATTTAGCTAGGAAGCAGGTAATAATATTATTATTTTGAATATTCTTTTACATATTTACAAATTTTTTTTTTTTTACACTATTTATTATAGCTTGATAAGCTAGGCATTCATTATAACCATTTACCTGCTTCACTTCCATTTACTACCGCTTTGGGTGAAGTGTCACTTCCAGCATCTCCATCAACTCCATCTTCTGAAAAAAAATTCTCTATAACCAATGAGGAGCTGAAGGGAGCTATTGAATCAGAAGACTCTGCTGCTTTTGATTTATTATACTTAGTAAGTTATTCTTTGTATATAAAATGTGTCATGATGATGGTCTTGTACAATGTGAGTTCAACAATTTATACAGTTTATACAATTTATGTGACAAAATAGCAATTGACGAACAGAGGCCTTAAAGCTTATGAAGGAACTCGACTTCGTAGCTCATATCGTTTACAAGGAGATGTTGCTGCCTTACAATTGTAAGTACCTCTTTAAGCGGCCTTTCTAAATTTGATATACTGTGTTATTAATTTCTTGTTGTGAACAGTCACCGCAAGAATTTTGAGAGTGCGTCACAATTAATGGAAGATTTACCAACTGCATATGGTGAACAAGGGTGGACTGTTGTTGAAAATAGTCTTTTATTAAAATATGCTGAATGTCAAAAGGAGCTAGGTCGAACTAAACAATATCCTTTAATATTTATACGATGTGTTCTTCTAAATTTTCATCTCTTTTATATGTGACCAAATCCTTAATATAATTTAACACATATGTTTTATCATGCTTATCGTTGTTGAAGAATCATACATTGTTATCTGAAAAAGAAGCTGGTTTTTACATGGAAGAAGTGAAAGGTTTATGTGGATCTCTCGAAAGAGACGAAGGTATGTATTTGGCTTTACTGTCCATTAATATTCAGTTCATTATTAATACATTAACGTTAAACGCGTTGGAAACATTTGTAGACATTATTAGGCCTTTTAAGCCAATGTTTCTTGTTACAGTAACAGACATAATTGACGATATAACAGACGAGGATGGACCTTATATGGCAGTTGAATTAACAAATTACTTGCCAACAGTTATTATCCACTCTATAATTTAACAATCTACACTTTCTACACTTTTTTATATTGCAAACATTCATAAAATTTTTTATATTAACAGTCATTAACATTCGATCAACTTGCCATCCGTTTGGTAAGTGGTGAGAGCGAAGAAATTTGGTTTGAAATTCTAAATCAGGAATTTAAACCTGGCTTGAATATATATAAATTATATTCTGATGTAAGTGTAACTTTGTATATATATATATATATATTTTTAAAAAAAAAAATATTTTATATATATATTTTTAATATTTTAGAACAGTGCGTCAGGAAATTATGTTGTTGAAAACGTTCGCATGTCCGTAGGCAAAATAGTTTTTACGCACAACTTTTTGAATGAAAGTAAAAAAAAGTTTTTCAGAATTAATGAACATCCCGCAGTTTTGAGGGCTCAAATAATAGCTCCAGAAGAAAGTAAGTCTTGATAATGATTCACATTCCTTTTAATTATTTGTATTTTGACAAATTTATTTCATCTAGTTCATATCGGAGAGCAGCAGTATTTTGTCGTTCAAATATTCACTGGCCTGACTAGTGTCACTAAAGGTTCATTAATATTGGAACCTTTGTCCGAAGGGTTAACATTTCCAGCGACCGACAAGTATCATGTTGTCTCAAAATCTGTTAATGGTATGTATTCATTAAATATTAATAATAAAATAATATGTAGCTCTTGCGTCCCATTTCATAGTTGTTAATGCAAAAAATATTGCATATTTAGCTTTGTTAATGCATTAAATAGTTTGAGTGCTGGCATATTTTATATTCAAAGGAGATTTTTCTTATTTAAAATACTTAGATTATGTTTATAATGGTTAGCACTCGTTATCAAAATATACATCTTAGAATATGTTGAAAAATATACACATCTTAGAATATATTAAAAACAATATTCATTTTTGTAGATGGTATAATATCAAAAGATATTCTTTCAGAAGATGATTTTGAGGTATCGGAAGAAGGGCATATACAAATACCTTTTTTGAAGACAAATCAATTAAGCCAGTTCAAAGTACCATACGATTGTAATTGGGGTGCTATTGAGCATAAGGTTTTATTATTAATTTAAACTTAATATAGCATTATATAATTGCTTTACCAATTTTTAATCTTTATCCGGTTAACTAGGTGAAAATAACAGTTGAATATGAGAGTAAAGGAAAATCGCGCGTATTCACATCCTTGGATACAGTTAAAGTTTGGTTACCCTTGGCAGTTACAGAATTAAACATTTTTAGAGATGATTGGTATATAAATTTTTTAGCTTTTATTTTTCGTATTAATTTTTTACAGTACCTGAATGAATATTATTATAAAGTTTATTCGTAAAGATGGATATAACATTAAATGGAAATGTCCCGGTGCGAATTCTTGAAACATCCCTGGTTCCATCGAAAGTATATGATGTTGTGGACAATCCAGCTGTGTCAACTCCAGATATAGTAAGCTATATAATAACGTCTATGATAAATTGTGCTTTAAAAAAAACTTTTAACCAACTAAAATTCATAATTTGTTTCAAAAAAGAGTTTATTTGCCAAACAACATGCCTCATTTGTTTACAAGCTAACTAGATCAAAAGGTAATACCATAATGTAATAAACGATTAATTACTTCTTCTTTTATATCACATAATTTCATATTTTGAAATTCATAGATTATGACCATGGGGAACATGCGAAATCACCAAGTACTAAAGTTCATTTCGTAGTTACATATCGAACACTTCAAAATGGTATTCATGATCACTTTTAATTACTTTATTGCATTTACAAATATAATCATTGACTAATACTTTGTTATTATTAGAGGTGGAAAAATATATAGAACATATTTTAAATAAAATTCTGAAGGCTAAAAATTTATTACAACATTCTCGGTTCCTTCTCGAGAACGCTAAAGAACATTTATTAAAATCAGTAGATTATGTCTCATATGGAATGACAGATACATTGGATTTGGGTGAATTGGATGTTTCACAGTGTGTGGCTTTATTTACAAGCCACGGTAGTTTTAAAGAGTCATTAATAGAGGTCGTCAAGGAATTTTGGGAGGTGAATTATTATTATTATTATTTTATTATTATTATAAAACAGTATCGGTATTAGCAACTAACTATAACGAATTACAATAATTACAATGAATTATTTTTATTATTATAATTTTAATATAAGGTCTGCAATAAAGCCGTATATGACGATATTGCAGCTGTCACCAATAGTATCAAATCCGCAATATCATTTCCTGTTGATGTACCTTCAGCCAAAGTATGAAAGCAGTTATTTTCGGGATCTGTTTTATTATCTTTATTATTTAAAAACATTTATTTTTCACCTATGAAAATTAGGTTCTTAATACTGTGGAATTAGTTATATCAAAACCAAACGATTTGGTGGTTGGTGAACCATGTCATTGCCGCTTGATTATTCGGCATTCGTCATACTGGAATTATACATCAGAACACAAAGACACCTTTGAATTCTTTTATGATGTTCACGTGGATTTTGATAATTGGTTGTTGGCTGGACATAAGAAACTATGTTTCACATCGAAAGTTTGTTGATATAATTATTATAACTAATGGTTTAAGTCAGTTATTCCAAATTTAATATAAAATTTATATTAATATAGATTGGAGAAACCAAAGAATTTCCAATCACCCTTGTACCTCTGAAGACAGGAAGCCTTCTTGTACCTCCCATTAGAATTGCTAGCCCTTCTCCTAATATTTTTTCTGAAACTGTTTATCTTAATAACGCAGAACAGGTTCTCGTCCGACCTCGAACACAATCTGCTACTTTCTTTATTGAACAGCAACATCGAATTCATTCACTTCATTCAGCTGCCGGATTTGGTGCTCCTGAACATCATAATGACTCAGGTCTCGATGAGATTAATATGGATTGAGAAGATTTTATTGTATATTTTGTCTTTTGACCCATGTATGTCTATTTATTTATTTTATTTTATTTTATTTTTCAAGTTTTATTTATTTGTAACGGCGGAAGTACAGTTTTCTAGATAAAAAAAATTCGTTTTTACATTACAATCAGCAGTAATTGCGCATAATGAAGTTTTAACCCGTGTGAAGTTAGCATCAATTACAATAATTTAATCATATTGAATTATTAATCTTAAAAAGTTATATATATTATTTATTAAATGGCTTAACAAGATTTATACAGTAATATTGTAACTATAAAATTATATATGATTACTAAATTGTCAAATAAATTTATTAAAAAATAAATAAATAAATAAATATTAAGCTATGTACTGTATGCTATACTGTATTTTTATAATACTGTATCTAATGTTTTAAAATTTAAAATATATACTTTGAATATAATATATATATATGCGAGTATAATTTCTTACAACTAAACAATTAATGCAATATTATACCTAAATTCTCTATTATACTACTAATAAAATAAATTTGTTTACTTTAATATAAGTATAAATACAGTATAACAAGCTATATACTATTATTAATTTATATATATTATATATGTATATAGTATACATTATACAGTATAATTAATTAGCTAATAAATTTTATATAAAAAAATTTTTTATTATACATACTGTAATATATACTATATATATATATATAGTATAACTATTTAAAATATTATATAGCTAAAAATATAAATTTTAAAAATAAAAAAAATTAAAATATAAATCTTGTAAATATAAGGTGAAATTAGTAAAAAATCTCGTATACCTCGTTATTTATTGGTCCAGACCGAATGATTTTTTTAGTACCATTCAATTCGTCTCAATGAGACGAATCGAATGGCGCTAAAATTATTCAATTTGGATCACAGGGTCACGAGTTATTAACAATTGTATGTACACGAAATTGGAAGAGGGTATTGTGGCGGATAGGGGTAATTTGGCGAATTGCAGGTATCTTATAAAACAGTTTACTGCTGATCGATTCGTCTCGTACAAAAATCGTTCGATTTCGATCACTGGGCCACGAGATATTGGCGTTCGAATGTATCCGAATATAATATATAAATTTTTTTAAAAAAATTGGTATATTATATTCGGGCGCCAATATCTTGTGATCCAGTGATCGAATTAGAACGATTTTTGTACCATTCTAATTGTCTCGATGAGAAGAATCGAAGGGTGGCAAAACTTTCTAATTTTGATCATGGGATCACGAGATACCTGCAATTCACCAAATTACCCCTATTTGCCAAATTACCCCTCTTTGCCTTAAGTTTTAAAAAAATAAATTTTTAAAAAATAATTTTAAAAAATATACAGTATAGAGTAAGTATTGCTAAATCTCACCGCAGGTGAATATTATAATTAAGGTTAGGGTTCTAAGTAAAATGTTCAGAGCCCCAGAAAACCTTACCCTAATTAAAATTTAAATTAATATATCTAACCTTAACCTTAACCTATCCTAAATTTTAGCAAAAAAACTATATGCGGTGAGATTTAGCAAAATTCAGTTATAAAAATATTAATTTTAAAATACAAAATTTAATAATATATCAGATGTATAGTCGATCCTCTCAAAACCAATCCTGTTAAAACTGTTAACCTGCTATAATTGGTCTGATCCATATAGTTTGTTCCGATACTACGTATACTGATCTGCTCACCATACTTATCTGCTATAATTTGCAGATTTATATGTGGAATTTGCATATACACTTCTGATTTTAGTTGCAGAAATTTAAAATTTTATTGCAGTCTGCAGACTCCGCAACCCAATTTCAAACACTATGTGTCAGTTTGTTTTTTACATTACACTTGATCTAGCCAATAAACATTAGCTTTGATTGTTTTTTTTAAATCTTTTATGTTACATCTGATCTAGCCAATCAGGTTTCAGAATTTGTTAACACACAGACATCGGGTATACTATTGACCTACCCAGTAGTGTCC